ATTTACTTGTCATATTTTGCAGGCATTTACATACTTATTACACATTTTTTATCAATTTGCATAACGAACACCTAAAATTTCATATTTGCATATATATATTAGGATCTATGACATGATTTATATATATATATATATATATATATATATATATATATATTACTCAAATCAATGGCATCACTTAAAAAAATACTATCACTAAAATTTAAAAAAAAAATACACATTGTTATGCATAGATTTTTAATACTTAAATATTATAAATTTGAAAATTAAAATTTAGGTGTTAAATATAAAAAAATGGGTGGTATAATGGTATGTATTTGAATTGCCCTATTTTTTATATATTTGATATGTCATCCACAAGTTCTTCTTGTTCGACATGAATCTCGAGACTTGATAACAATCTCTTGAGTAAGAGATATTTAAATCTTGATTAAAAATTCATCTAAAGCCTCAATTTCAGCAAAATTATTATCAAATTGGTCGGCTCGATGTGACGGATCCAATGATTGCCAAAATTAGTCCAATCTGAGTCAAATTAAGCTTAGTTCAAATCATTAAACTACTCTCAAAAATTTTCAGACATATTTTGAAGGTCGAACAAATGTTAAATCTAACAAGTCTATAGTTAAATCGAGTGAATCGATAAGATGAATCCAACGAGCCTAAGATTGCTCGATTCTAACATTGTTAAAACGCTCAAATGTCCATCTAACTCTGTTTGATTGAAAGAAACTCTTTGTACCTTTTCAATCAAAGTGTTTAATATTCATGTATTAATTGCACCTAGAACACTATAAATAAAGTCTCACTCTTCTTATGAGAGGAAGTGGAGCTTGAACCATGAATGAGAGCTCGAAGCCTAAAGCAGAACTTGAAGTTTTGAGTAACTAAAGTCCAACATCACTATAGTCACAATCGACCACCGCTGACAGTCGTCGACCACAATTAACCGCCGCCGATCTTCGTCGACCACCAACCATCGGCCTCCACTGATCGTCATCGGTCGATGCCCACTTCTTACAAATAAGTTTATTTTGCACTAACGTAACTACAAAGACTGGTTAACTCTTTCCAGCCCGTGGGATGAAAGACTATACACGTAATATTCAGTTTATGGTCAATTTCTTCAACTGTGCTACGCCCATTGATTTTTTCCTTTTACGTACGGATTTTCTACGTAAAAATTTTTGATATCACTATTGATTGTTTTCTTTTATCCGAGTATGTGTTGAATTTTCGTGCAACATTAATATTATGATTCATTACTCTATAGTCGTGAATTTTTTAGCACGCATCAAATTTATTTAGATAAATTTCCGATTTCATAATGATAGAATAAAAATGAAACAGTAATTTTGATTGAATTAAATCATGAATAATGAAGGCTTTTAATTTTTCTTTTAATATTAAATATGAGAATTTTTCTCTCAATAAAATTACAAGCGAATCGAATTATAAGTGGTTGAGCCGTGATGTACGGGATATTCAAACCCCTGTGAATCTGTTCTCTTCAAAATAAATAAATAAATAAATAAATAAAAATACTCGGTCAAAATTGCACTCTGCCCGAACAAATAATACCAAAAGTTTTCCTGACCGTTAAATAATAATAATAATAAACAATTTTCATACACTTCATGTAATTTTGTATATTTACAACAACAACCTTTTAAATTTAATGTTTGCATTAATACCCTCTTATGTATGATTCAAAAGTTGAATTTCAATTTTAAAATTTAATAATAATGATAATAACAATGTTTTTTATTTGATATATATAAAATATTTAAGGCCATGAAAATAAAAATGAAAATTTGATATTAGATATGTAAATATGTAAAAATTATGTGTTATATACGTAAACCTCTCTTTAAGAAAATAGAGGCATTCAGTACAGTCAGCTCATTTAAACTCAGCTTTGAAATTAGGTCTCACCACCGACAGATCTCGCTGAGAAGTTTCCTTTCTCTATTTCTTGTTTGGCTTCATGTCATTTAACCCCCACAAAAAAAAAAATAATAATAATAAATATAAAAAATAAATATAAAAAAATAAATAAATAAAAAAGGCAAACACCCACTCAGATTTATTTACTTTGTTTTTTTATTTTTCCTGAACCAATCATCTGCATATTATTTTGATCTAATCATACTTATATTTTGATGTATAATGTTGATATTATGTAAATTTTAACTATTTATTTTATAAATTTGTATTTACATCGATTTCTGAAATTTAATTGTAAGATTAAGATTAAGATACATCATAATATCTAATAGCAAATTTGTTAGTTTCAAAATATAAATTAGATTGAAAACTACAATAATATCTATTAAGAGTAGAAGTGTAATTTCAGAAGGCACCAAACATAAATGTAATGTGGATTATCTCATAAGAGACAAGTATCATTAACTTCATTACGTGTGAATTATTTAATTTTGGAAATAGTATTTATATTGGAAAGATCGTCATTATAAAGAAAATGAGAGATCTGACTAGCGAGGATTATCGTCATTATAAACAAAGATTGTCTTTTATACTCGATTGGTCTGTATTTCTTTATGTGCATGCATGCATAGTTAAAATGCATACCCAACATAACATTCGAGCACAAAATAAAATAGTCATTTCAATTGAGTTAACATTAAAAAATAAAATTTTAAAATGTAAAATTATGCAGTTGTTAGGTGTAGTCTTTTTAAATTATAACAAACTATCACTTTTAAAGTGTAAGGCTATCATTATGATTTTAAAAGGCATAATGTGTTGATTGTTAGCCTTTTCTAGAGTCATAATTCTAAAGATTTGGGTTGGGTTTCACTTTTTTTGTGAGGGTGAAATCCACAAGTCCCTCTCCTTAGATTAGGTTTAAGCATCTTACCCATTTAGATAGAGCTCATCGCCTTGTTTCCATGAACTATTTTATTTGAATATAATTCAATAGCTTCTAAAGTTATAATATTAACTCAAATCATTTTCTATTCAATTTCTAAATTGTAAAGCCCAACCATATGATTGGCTAAAACAAAATTGGGTCTCTCATTATCTAATGCTCCCTACTCCTCATTCACTAGTTTTTAACAAAAACTTTTACAATTTTGATCCATTCCCATTTGAATTGGGCCCTGCTATCACAGACGATGCTTGGCCCAAGTTAAGACATTTGGGAATAGTTAGTTGGTTTCTATGAATCAAACATCATCTTTAAAATAAAAAGATCTTGAACTTGTCTAGCCAGGAATTGGATCTCATAGGATGGGAGCTCAGTAGAGATGAAATCATTAGGGGTTCATTAGAGAAGATAGTGACTTAACTTATTATGTTGAGGAAAATCATGATGAGAGTTCACTGGAGAAAACAACAATAGAGCCAACTATGTTGGGGAAGTTGTGATGAGAGCTCGCTAAAGAGGCAGTGACGCGGACATTGATGTTTAAAAAAAAAAAGATGACAACCAGCTTAAAATCAAGCGTTGGGAATTTTTATCTTAACCGACTCAGGAGCTAAGTCTGGCTTGAACTCGAGGTCGTATATTATTGAAGTTGTAATTTGAGCTCAAGCTTAGACTCATGATTTAATAAGCTTTACTCGTGAACTCGTTAGTAAGTCGTGTTTATGCATAGTTTATAACCCAAAATCAATTACTTGTATTCAATCTAAGTTGATGTCGAGTTTCTTGTTGTAATTTAATGATCTTTAAGGTTAAAATAATATTATTGTCCTCATTAAAATTTAGTGTTATTGAGAGTCTCATGTAAAATTTTATATCATTTTTTCATCATTATAACATGTTACAAGTCAGCTTAAACCTCACACTCTTGCTGACAATACCATAATTCTTGATTTTTTTACATCAGCCTCTATATAACATTTGTGCATTTTAAACTAATCAAATCACACATAGAAGGACTCTCAAAGTATTTTATAGCAAAGAACATTCATTTCTCATATAAGAAATCCCAAGTTTCATCTTTGACAAAACAATTTGATATTTTTTATGCTTTATTCAGAAATTATTTCTTAGAAAAATGTTATCAAATTGTTCTACCTAGACATTGCATTTAATATACATTTTGCTTTGAAGATGTTGTTATTTTGACAAATAAAAATGTGAAAGATTAAATTATAATTTCCAACATTTGGGAAAATGTTGATCACTAAATACATCTTGAGTAGAAGCAATTTATGTATTAATAAGATGCTTATGGTAGGTATTTTTGTGAACAACATTGGAATGACTTTACATGAGCCATTTTCTCAAACTTACATTTGTTCTTATTTTAATGCTCTTCAAAATTAGATATAAGCTATTGTATAATCATCCACACAGATTTGGTGAGCCCAAAAGTATGTTGTAATTGAATGTAACAGCACAAACTCTCACCCATCAAGATATTATGCGCTTTGGCTTAATGACTTAACAGTTTTAACCCAGCGGTGTAACTTTTTAGGAGGTCGCTCATCCTAGGATTTAGTTTAAATATGAATTATAAAATCTTATAAATCTAAATTTATCAAATTATGAGGGGGTTAAATCAAGAAAACAATTTGGTATATTAGTAAATAAATGAAACTGTTTGATAATTTTTGTTGAATTTTTGTGGTTAAAAGTTTTAAAAGTATTCCTTTGCCAAAAACTTAAATTTCACATTTTTGAAGCATGCATCATAAACTATCATATTAATTTCAAATATCTATAGTAATTAAAATTTTAATATGTTATATTAATGACATGATTATTAAATATATTTAAATATAATTTTATTTTTTAGAATCATACTAATTAATAATTAAAAATTTATTGAACTAATTATTAAACTAATTATATTAAATAATAGTTTTGCAACCATTAGTTAATAAATAAATAAATAATTAATTAAATTTAATATATAATTTACTATATCGACAATTTATCATTAATTTCATAACATTTTAATTATTAGTTATTAATCAATTAAATTTACTTAAATAAAATTAATTAAAGCCAGAAAACCATCTGCCGCTTCCCCTCTCCTACCTCAAATCCTTGCCGACGTCCTTTCCGGTTTTGCCGAAAACCATCGCCGCGACCGAAGCTTGCTCTCCGAGTCTCGGTTAGGGCTGTGAAGACTGAAGACAACAACGGGATCACGACGTACAAAGACCTCCGAAACTCTCATCTTTCTTCTCCTTCCGGTCCGTTTCTAACAGAAACCATTGAGGAAGGTAACGCGCTTCAGCTTCTCTAAACATGAACTTTCGTTCTAACGTAAAACACTCCGTTGTCGGATGACTTAGACTTCTTTCAGCATCAATCTGATCAGATCGCAATCAGATTGACAGCAGGAGCAGAGAAAGAAGAAAAATGGCGAAGGGCAGGCGAGCAGTCCCGCCTTGTTCCAAGACTTACGGCTTGCCGCTTTACTGCGCCGCGTGGGTTCCCCTCGATCGAATATTGTCCTCACCGGATGCTGTCGCTACTGCCGAGGACGCAGTGGACAAAAAGGAGAAAGAAAGAAACACGCCAGTGACCACCCAAAACGATGGCGCGGCTGACGTAGATGAAGATTTCGCCCTATCTCCCGCTCATAGGAACAAACTTTTGCTTGCGCTCGGTGGCGGCGGGGGCGAGGGGCGCAGCGGCGTTCCCAACGCCATCCTTCTCACTCTCTTTGATTTGGAATCTCGATCCCTCTCCGATTATCCGGTAATTGTGCAGGAATTCTTGATCGATTGCATCTTTTATGATACATAATCGGATTTAACTTTTACAGCAGCCTTTTAGATTTTATCTTTTGTTGATGTTTGGCTTTCCCTTTGTGGACAAACGACTCAGGTGCACAGGTTTGGGACGGAAGGGGAATTACCGTACAGAATGGCGATGCATCCTGGAGGTGATGGCTTCATTTGCTCGTTTCTAAAGAGTTGCAGGTCGCTCCTTTGAGTTTTATTTTATTTTATTTTTTGGTTAAATGCTTAGAAAATTTGGGTAGTTGTCCAGTTGAAACGTTTCATATTTCTGCAGCACACGCAGTAATTAACAAGAATGAATATGTTGTTCTAGTTTAATTAAATGGAGCGAATGCTTTTTATAAGGCATTGGCTATGTTTTATGGAGAGTTGGGATTTGCTGTTATTAAGCATCCTATGATCAAGGCTTCATGTCACGCAACCTAATTTTTGAATCTTTCCACATCACTAAATATGAAATAAAAATGTTTTACAGTTAGATTTTCACATTCTTTAGCAGACAGTTTTGATGTTTGATAGATTGTGTTATCTGGGTTCTTTATGACAGATTGGCATGGTTACCCTCTATTGTTTGCTTCTCTTATTTTTTTCGTTATTCTGGTGGCTAACCAATCATTAATGAGTGACCGTACTATCAAATAAATTCTTCTTTGTCTGTTAATATTTGTGTAATTTTTAGTCAAGTTTCTCTGTTAATATGAGGGGCTAGTGGATTTTGATTTTTGCAAATTTTAATCTCAAATTATAGTTGAATCATATTTGACGTGGACTGAGTTGACTAATGGCATTAAGAAGGTTGTTATGTGAATATTGGGAGAGTTTGAAATTGGTCTTACATATGCAAATAATAATCTAAGAAACGTTTTAGTGTGCATTTAAGAATAATGGGGTTAGGGAGTAGTTATTGAAGAAGAAAACTTTTGAGGAGGGATTAATGGGATATTTGCTTAGGAAAAGCTTGTAGGTATTGGAGAATCAATTTGATTTTATGCCACAAAGGTCTTTATAAAAGTAATTTTAATGCCAAAATAATTAATGGAAAAATATGCAGAACAATGAAAAAACTTCCATGATTCTTATCTTTCTTGATAAAGCAAATGACCGGCTGCTATGAAATTTGATTTGATGCACATTGAGATACAAAGAGTTGCTGATGATTATGTTGAAGCATTAAAGAGTTGTATAGCTGAGCATTGTTTAGCATCAGAAGTAATTATAGAGTGACTAAAGAGTTTTCAATCACAACATGATTATATTTTTTTACCAATGTTATGTTTTTATTTTTCTATATGAATATTGAAAGTGTTTGCAAAGGAAATTCAAATTATAGGTGTATGTTGTTTAGGTTGAAAATTTAGACTAATTGAGAAAAGATTAGAAGATAAGCTGGTCAGTATTAGTAGAATAGAGAAAGTGATATAAATAGAGGGAACAAGATAGAGAGAACTGTATTGTTAGTAGACCAAATATCAAGTATATGATGCAATTTTAGCAGGATTGAAATTAGTAATGGTTGGATAATATTGTTGGAAGATTAAGGGATATCTAAATGTGATCTGTTTAAATATTTTGAATCAGTTAAACAATAGTATGGGAATATTAATGAAAATTAATTTTTGGAGTTAAAATTTTGTACTTGAAAATGATAAATGCTTTGCAGCATTATGCAATAAAATATATTGTGAAAACTTAAGATGTATTTTTTGAGACTACAATTAGTCTAGCAATGCTATGTGGATTCAAGTGTAGGTCGATAAAGAAGTTATTGGCAACCATGCTTAGTTGATTGGAAATGAGAATGTTAAAATCGATATGCGCTAAAACTAAGAAGGATATTTAGACAAATGATTATATTAGAGAGACACTAGAAGTAATAGAAGATAAAATAGTGAAAAATAAGCTTAGGTGGTTAGGTCGTGTATGACAAGAGCAGAAGATGCATCGAGGTGATGAGTAGATAAATTTATAGTGGAAGAAATATGATGGAAAAAGTGTTGATCATAGGAAAATGGCTAGAAATTATGTATGGTAAATTACAAAATAAAGTGAACATCTTGTATGACACTCGATAAAAATGAATGATAAATGAGAATTCAGGTTGTGAACTCCATATAAATTGGGCAAGTTCAATGCCAGTGATGGTGATGGATGCCAATTGCTTCATTTACAGGGAATGCATAATTGTATTGTTGTATGCTTGAATCATGTGAAAGGAGCAGAAAGGAAAATGGGTGGCGAAAATGTGAAGAAAAAAACTTGCTTAAAGTAGAGTTTATGTAACTCTCGTCATCAGTAATTGGAGGAGGATTTATATGGCTGCAAGCATAAGGATAATGCTGGTGGTGATAACTGATAATTGCACTTCTCATTTTATTTCTTAAATTTGATTCTGCTGTATAATTCTTTCTGTTTTGTGGTATATTTATAGGTTCTTTGAGTGGGACATCCCCAAGGGTATGGATCCTAGTAAACTAGCATTTAAATCTTCTGGGCATACATTGCAGCAGCTAGAAGATCTTCGGTCCCAATCTGCATTGGCCTTTAGTTCTGATGGTTCTTTACTGGCAACTGGTGGTGAGGTATACTGTTTAAATAATAATTGCGATATCATCCATTGATACAAAAAAAAATTAAAAAGAAAAGGAACTATTATGATTTAGATCTGTTATTCCAATGCTGCTCGAGTGTTTAGTGCTGCTCATTGTTAGAATTGTTTTTTTAATTTATCTTTTAAAATCCCATAATCTGCATTTCAGCTTACGTTTCATAGCTTTGGCTATATATATCTATAAATCATATAAATTATCTGCTTAATATAGTCATTCTCTAGTCTATTTGCCAAATTATTCGTATTTACATTTTATCATTCTCGTTTTTACATTAAACTAGGTTATCAATGGCTTTTTAGTGCTGAACTCTTAGATCCATACAACATAATAATGTAGATATCTTAGGGTCTATGGTTTATAATGTAGATCTATTATTATAGGCATGAAATTATGCAACACACAAAACTTGACATGATAAAAACTTATAATATTAACAATGATTCATTATCCTTGTTGAAAATGAAAAATTCGGCAGAACTCAATCTTGATGATACTTTAATAGTAGTTCATCAATACGTGGAATTTCAAAACTACAAAAGGAACATGTAACTAATTAGAATTCATGTTTTATAAAAGTCTCTGTTCGTATTAAACTTAAATAAAATCAACCATGCATTCAAACCAGCACCAAATTTTATATTGAAGAGGAGAAATTATTTGAATTTTGTGTGTATTTTATTAGGGGCCTATCCCCTCTGTTTATACAATGTGCATCTAGATTACAATAAGCAATTTCTACCCCTGAAAACTACTAATTATATTGTAAATAAAAGAAAATATTTTATAGCTTACACGCATTTATTTTTCATAAAAAGGCTAAGTTGTGCTTAAGTAATCATTTATGAAAGTAGTAAGCCGTCTAGCTTTATTAATATTGGTGTTGGGAGATGGTCCCCAGATACTGGTGTGGATTACGAAAAAACTATTGAGATTGTTGAATAGTTGAGAAACGGGAACTCTATGGCGTTATATTGAGAACATATGATAATGGAAGAAAAGGTGTGAGTTCTATAGATCCTTTCTTAGCAATAGAAACAAGGTTTTCATCGGTTACTTTTATTTATGGTTTAATGTATAGTGTACAATTTAGGGAGAGAATTTGCTGGAAGAGTTTGCCATTGATAAGTTATTCTTGAGTATATCATTCAGATTTTGTTTGAACTTATTTCAAATACGCAAGAGAGTTATGAGGTGAAATATTTACCTGATTGAGTTGTAGAGCACACACCCATTAGATGAATTGTTGTCGAGAAGTTCATAGTTTCTTTATTTTCTTACTTTAGACCTTCTATATCTTGGTTTGGTTTTGGGGGCTTTTTTATTGTATGGTGGCTTCCGCTCTAGTTTCCAACATGTGTATTTTATATGCCCTGCCTTACAATAAGTGCAAAATATGATTTCTTGATTGTTGGGCTTTGTTGGGCCTAATTTAGATTTGTATTACTTGATTATGCTTGTATTTGATTTAGAGATAATTAAAGCAACATTTTCTCCAATGAGTAGTGTTTCTAACATAACATCACGTTTCCCTTCTTCAATTCAAATGTTTGAGAGTTTATTTAAGTTGGAAAGGATAATTTTTTGAAGTATTTGAATGCATATTTGATCATATTTAGCATTTAGTTCAATTAAGTATTCATAAATTCTTTCTTCATGTATGGAATTTCATGACATTGCAGCATCATCATTGCTTCTTATTTTGATATGATAGTATTATTTGAGTTTGAGCTTCTTATTTTTCATTTTGTTATAATATTCAAGTGTATTTTGCTTGGTTGTTTGAATTTTTGTCTTAATTTTTTTAACTTGGTGAAGTTGTCACCTTGAGATACCTTTGTTTTACCACATTCCATATATCCTTGGTTGTGGGTGGGAACATATAGATTATTGTGCTGACTTCTAGTATCATTGAATTTCATAGCTAAGATATTATTGACAAATATTCTACATCTCATACGATAAAAGTGAGTTCATCTCTATTCGATATAAACCCAATTGGGCGGCCTAACTTACATTTTATTCTAAGATTTTCATGATCTGATGTTAAATAAGGTGTTTTCTTCCATTCAAATTGAATGAAAATTTAATGTTTTCGTATTCTCTTATAAAGCATTGAATTTTCGCTGATGATATCCTTCTTGTGGATAAGATTAGAGAAAGAGTTAAAAAAAATGAATTATGGATGTTTACTTCAAAGTCTGAAGGCATTCACATTATTTTTTATTTCATATCAAACTTTAAGTTATAATTTATATTTTATAATTGTTAATGAATGTATTTATATATTAATAGTTTTATTTAACCTATTAGCATTTTTGTTAATAAAAGAACTATTTCGCTTTGAGCTTCACGCTTTAAACCAAAAATAAAATCACGGGCGTCACAATGTTCTTTGCGCTTTGATAATACTTGTTCTTCCCCCATTATTTATATAGCTTTATAGATTATAATTGATAATTGATAGTTCTTGCTTGTGGAAACAACTAATTGTATTGAAAAATTTTAAAAAAATCTATGGCTTTCACGCATTTATTTCCCTAGAAATCTAAGAGCAATTTATGTCCCTTGAGGCCCACTGATTGCCAATGATGGATACTAAGATGGGCTGGTAGCTTTGCAATCCTACGATTGCCATGTTGGCTACTAGAGCCTCAAAGTTAGTTAGTAATTTTAAGTAAAGTAAATAATTATGTCATCTAATTAAGCCCTTGTACTTGGAGATGGCTTGTGCCAAAAATCTTTAAATTTACCATATGATCAAGGAGCAGACTTTCATATATAGAAGGATTAATAAGTCTAAATATACTATATAGAAAAATAAGTTAATCGTATTTGTACATGTCAAATACCCCAATTTATTATGAATTTTACTAATAGATTTCTTTTATAATCATTAATATAAATCAACTTTTTTCTATTGGAGTCAATCAAAAGGCCACTGACTATCGTATCTAGTCAGCTACATTTAAAATCAAAGTAATCAGTTTAGCAATTTTGATCGTTGTTGAAGGAAGTTGTTTGCAAAGCCTACAAAATTTGTAGAAGTTGCTTAAGGCTTGCCACAAAAGCCACTAGAATAGACGTAACACATATTGGAAAAGTTATATTACAAGGTTGCCTGTACCTTTCCATTGCCTAGGAAAGAATCTTAGAGGCCACAAGCCATCAGGTAAGTTTAGTTAACTAGAGAATATTAATAATGAGTCTGCAATTCAGGGAAAGCCATACCAAAGGAAAGATCCGGCAATGAATGATGCTATAAAGGAAACAACAATAGTGAATTTGCGTGAAATTTGTAAAGTTAAAAAAAGAAGAAGTAAACTAAACACTTATTTGAATAACAATAGTTAAGTCACTAAAATAAAATCCATCTTTCAATTTGATTGTCTTCACATGCATAATAATAATATTAATTATTATTTTAATAATTGCGGATTTTGAGTTTTGTGCTATCAAGGCTAATTCCATCTTTATAAAATTTGCTATTAAATTTTCTTATTATTCTCGTCTTATAGACCTGAGGAACTTTTCCATTTTAATCACACAACTTTAACTCATGATCTAAGATATTTCAGCATTTTCACTTTATCTTTCATAATATAGATTAATATTTGTTAAAAACACACCTATTAAAATTGCATATCTTTTACTCATTTTATTCTATCAATATTAAATCTTTAATTTTTTAGTTATTCCTTAATTCTTCAGATTTTTCTCTTGTTTTATTATATGCATAATCAATTAAATCCTTGTCATCTGTAAAAAACTTAACATAATTCTCCACTTTGAACATCATTTGAAAACATCTTCATAACAATTAAAAAATGTCAAAAAATATACTTAATGTAATGATATTGGAATTTAATTAAATTAATTTAGAACTGTGGAAACTGGTGACAATTCAAGCATCCAAGATGGCAATTCTAGGAAACAATATATGGGATTCATATGTCAATTCAAGAGATCTTGGTTTCTTTTTTTGAAATATTTGTGTGAAATCTAAAATTTGTTATATAAATAGTTTTCTTAATTAACTTTATTGGATCAGGAATGTATATTAGTGCGATTATGTTGGCTCTTCCTTTTTATTTGATTGCGGTAATATCTTTCCTTTTATTATCATCTTTCTGCTTAAATAATGATAGAAGAGTGGTTGACTATATATGGAGAAATAATTAGATGAATCAATTCCTCTATTTCCACAGTTCGCTTCACCATTGTTTTCTTATTTTATCACAATATCAAATTAGATTCTATTGTAGATTCAATCCTTTGGTTACGCCACTGATGTTTTACAATAGATTTATTTAGTCTTCTGTTGTGTTTTCTGTCCTCCCTGTTGATTGGAATATTGTTATTCATTGGATTGTTGCCATATACATATCAACGTAAGCTTTTTTTTGGGTGTCTTCTTGATTTATTAGTTGAAAATTTTTTGGCGCTCTTTGTTTATTAAGAACAACTCCTTTTATTCTCTCTTTGTCCTCCATCCCTGGTCCAAATAATCACTTTTCTTTGTTAATCTTTTATTCAACCTTCCTTATGAATCTAGACCCAAGATCCAAGGGTCTTCAGTCAATTTTTTTTTATGTATTACTTATTGTCTCTAGTTTTTATTTCTTAATATGTTAAAAACTTTTGAAGCTTATCTGGGTAGTGGAATTCTATGCATTTAGAAATTAGGATTTCGAGGAAGCTAAATTCACCTGATTGAAATAGTGCAAGCAAGATCCAAAGTTTAATACTTGGGATAAGGAATGCTACTTGATCATGTCATAACCATGGAGTTCTATGTAGTCATAATCAATGGAAGTAGCATGTTTCTTACTATTTCCTTTTGTCACTCATCAAATATAATTCTAATTTATATTTTTGATGAGTAAAATATTATTGATTTATTGGCTCATCGATTCAGAGTCTATGGATCATAGGAGTTTGTCTAATATAATTCAATACCGGTAAACCATGCC